GGGGGATGGGAACAGTCTTTTTTCAGTGGTGCCCAGTGATAGGACAAGAGGTAACAGGCACAAACTTGAACATAGGAAGTTCCATCTTAACACGAGGAGGAACTTCTTTCTTGTGAGGGTGGCAGAGCACTGGCACAGGCTGCCCAGAGAGGTGGTAGAGTCTGCCACTCTGGAGACATTCAAAACCCGCCTGGACGCTGTCCTGTGCAACCTGTTGCAGGTGACCCTGCTCTGGTGGGGGGGGTTGGACTAGATGATCTGCAGAGGTCCCTTCCAACCCTGACCATTCTGAGATTCTGTTTTCCTGAAGGAATTTGAAATCACATGTTATATCTTCAGGGAGATTAAGCAAACGGTCAAAACACAGGTCTTTGGCAGCTGATCTAACATGTAGGCTATTGTAGCTTGTATAATGCAATTAGTGTTTGGGCTAGAGAGGGAAAGTGTGATAAGAAGCACTCTAAAATTTAGTAATTACGTGAGAAAGGAGAAGTTGAATTCTATTTTCTGCTCCAAGGAATATTTAAATATTTGATTGAAAGTCGAACAGCTGGAGAAGAGTTTGTGGTCTCATCTCTTCTCAGAGGCCTATCAGCTGCTGAAGATGGTGTGAATCATTCTCTCCTGGGTGATGAAATGACCGACACTCTGATCTCTGTAAGAAAAGCACGGGCAATTGACTTCCGAACAGGAGTTTGTGTCTGTTTAGTGTAACCAGAGAGAGCTCCCTGTAATGCAGAATTATGTATCTTAGCCTCTGTGACGGAGGGGGCTTACATCTCAATGTTTTCCTCAGCACTCATTACTAATTAACTTTAGCTTATATAGTTTTGCAATTTAGCTTCACTTGCTGGCTTCTCTGGAGCCTCCTCTTGTTTATTGAGATGTGGTGGCAAAAATCCAAGCGAAAGCAAATGTAGTAATTTGTTTTAGCCAAACAGCAGATTTTTCAGTTCTGAGTATTTGAGGGTTAATAATGTTGTTCCTAGTTAACATCGCTAATAATGACTAAATATTAGAAAAAGTGAATTACTTGAAGTTGATTAATTATACTTGAAACTGCTTCTAACAGCTGATGGAACTACTGACACAAATGATAAGCAGAGATTTTTATCAATGTAGAGAGATCGATACATGTTTAGTGAGAACATGCAAGTGAATGAAAGTAAGTCACGGGTGATTTAAGTGATGTGCAGAACTTCCTTGTCATCTGCAGAGAGGATGTTTACTCCCGCATCTTTACATGTCTGGCATTTAATTGATACTTTTGTGGGGTTAAAAGGCTTCATAAAATTAATAACTCAGCTCCTACAACTCAGCTCAGTTCTGAATCCTGCAGAGGCCCCAGGGTTTTATTTAATCCTTTTCTTTTGGCAGTAGCCATAGGCCTCACTCCCCTCCAGCAGCCCGTGTTTTCTTTACGAGGTAGCTAACTCTTGCTGTGCTCACACGGCTATGCTCTCACCTGGATTTTTGCCTTTTTTTTTTTTTTTTTTTTTTTCTCTCCTAAATCCAGCCTCTGAAATCTCCCAGCCTTGCTGAAATAATTAGTGTAGTAGGTTTGGTCACCAGTGAGTAAAGGAGAGAGATGAGCAGATTCTACAGTATACTTCTGCTAAATTGTTAATCGTGGCCCGAGCTGCTACAGAGGGCCCGGAGATGCAGGCATAGCCTTATTCCCGCTACTTGGTCTCAAGGATAATGTGCCTGCACCAAAAATACATCAGGAGGGGCAGCGTGGATGTCACCAAAGTCCACATCTCACTGTTCAACTGCCTCATTTTGGGGAATCTGAACCTTGAACTGCAACTGAAGTTTACTGTACCACTTATGGCCAAAGTGTGCCAAGCCCCTGTGAGTCGAGACCAATGTAGAGCTGGTTCTCATCACTCTTCCTGGGCATACCTGTGAATAGGAATACTCTTCTGCTGTGTTGTCTCCACTTTCCTAGTTTAATCAAATTTTCATAACCCTATTTGAAGCTAAGCAGCTTTCCTATCTGCCGTTTCCGATGCGTGAGGGTAGCTGTGCGTTGAAGCCCGTGCCATAACTTCCATGTGCTGGAGACATGGAAAAAAAGACTGTATATCTTTCGAAACCAAAGTGACTCCATCCAGCATTCCAGATAAAATTTTCAAATTGATCCGCATCTCCTCTTCCTCGCATGCCTAGCCCCTGGACCCTGTAAATATTCTATTAAGAAGAAATCTCTATTTCTTATCAGACCGTATTTCTTATCTATATCAGGCCATAAATCGTGTGTTTCTGAAACAAACTAACATGTCAGTGAGATGTCCCCTTATCCTAGTTAAATCTAATCCATGATATACTAAAGCCATTATGTATCTTACAGAGGGAAGCTAAGCTGGATGTCCCAAAGTATTGAAAACTCTAATTAAGTCAACAAAGCTTAACCCCTCAAGTATTTTTGCAACAACCGTTTCCTCTTTGTGGTCAAATATACGAGGGTGTGAAGCGTGGCAGGCAGTCAGTGCGTCGGTCAGGGCACATTCAGCTGCAGGGGCTGCACACACCACTCCCAGTTTGGACGGAGAAATCCAGAGCCGCGTTCATTCACCTGCTTCTCATTGCCTCAGCCTTCAAGGCAGGGTTGCTCTGCTTTCTCAGGTTCGCAGCAGTGTCATTAGTGTACAGGTTACTTTATTCTTGCACATTGTTACGTGTAGGAATAAAAAGGTTCCTTATTACCAGGAATTTCTCAGTTTTTCCTTAATGGTTGTAGAGCTTAGGCATTACGTCGTGTCTGGATTTATGATATTACATCCTACCAGGTGGACCTGTCTACTCGCAATAGGTGCATTGCACAATTTGGGGGGTTTACTTTTTGGTTTGGGGTTTATTTTATTTATTTATTTTGGTAGAGAATTCTCTCACATTTCTGGAAAGTATAACATTACTGTTTTATAATGATTTCAGCTCAATATCATCTTAATTTCTCCTCCTGCGCTATTGCTATTAGTGCATCCCACATCCCAAAATACAATGCTGACAACCAGTTCCTCATATAGCAGCATTTATACTTTTGATCCATTATACAATTGGCTCATCAAACGGTCCTGCTAAACTGATGCAATCAAGTTGCACTTTTTTCCCCAATTTCCTCTTTTTTTAAAAAAAATTATTTTTGTTCAAAGTGATGAAGCTTTTTCCTCTGGAAGTTGCAGAAGGCATATGTGTGCGAGTGCCAATCCACATCCTATCTGCAAAATACAAATGACCTGCGATAATTTTGGCTGCCTCGACTCTGTCTTTCTTAGCAGCTCTGATTGCCCTTACCGAGTCTCGCATATTATCCAACTCAAGCAGCTGTGATGCAGTCGATCTAACGAGCGTCATTCTACACTCATGCCCTTTGGAAAGCTTCGGGACTGCCAGTAAATTTAACCTCACAGGGAGATGAGCTTCTGCAGGGTCCCCGCTGCTGGGAGGCTTCCCCAGGAGTCAGGGAATTGCCTTAGTGTTGGCTTCTGGCTCAAAACCCAAGGAAGACATATCCTGAAACCAAACCTTTCATCATGTTCTGATTTAAATGAAATGACACAGCATATAAAGTACTCTTCTAGTGAATGTGTGTGTTCTAGTGAATGTGTAAATCCCATTCTTTTTCACCGCCTAATATATAATAGTAATGTGATAACCAATTAAGTAAATTGCAGAGTATTACTCATTTTTTAAAACATGATTGTGCTAAATCTTTGCTGGATGTGGTAAGTTGTAGAACCTCATTATCTGCACACAAATGTTAATTTGTTAAACAAATCCCACTGGCAATTCAGGGATTATTCACTGTTGGTTTACTTACTGCTAAGCCTTTTGGCAAATTCCTATGTGAACATTATATAGCTAGAGATTGGGGCAGCTTTAATTAAAATTTATAAGTTTATGACAGTTGTATTGA